ATCCGGATCCATCCTCCTTCCCCGTCACGCATCCGCTCCCTTACTCACCGTCTCCCGGCTCCAGGATGTCCCGCTGTCCTCCCCACGGACTCTCAGGGCGAGCAGGCCACAGGGCGAGAGAGAGAGAGAGGATGAAAGGACGATATGCGACACGCGGGGGTCCCAGGGAGCAGGACAGCAGCGGGGACCACCCAGCTGTGTGCGCAGGCGCAGGAGGCGAAGGTTCCGGCAGCGACAGGAAGCCGCCTCCTCACTTCCGGCTCCCGTCTGATTGGGCGATTTCTAAGGTCGCGCCCGCTGATTGGATAAACCTTCAGGATCCACCCTCTCAGGTCTTGACTGACAGAAGATGCAAAGCCAGAGGGCCTCCATAGGCAAAAATGCGCTTAGATTTCTCCTTGCCCCTGCGTCTGAACGGAAGGCGTGGGTGGGAGGGGGTTCCCTCTTGGGGCATGTTGGGAGTTTTCATCGCTGCACGTCGGTGGCCGCTAGAATGTAGGACCACAGTGTCTCCTCTGAGATACGCTGAGCTTTATAGTCCAGCAGCTCTGCGACCCACCGATCGGGAGCTATGTGGATGCGAGAGTTCCCAGCATGCTTTGCGATGAGCCCCGACTTCCCAGCATGCCTTTCACTGAGCCCCAAAATCCTACACCGCGGCACCCCACCACCACCGTGGGCTCCCACCACGTCCTGAATCCAGGAGAAATATCAATCTCTTCCTGCTTCATATAGCCCGGGTTTGATCCATTTTCTGTCATTCAAAACCAGAGGGGCGGATCCCAGGGCCTCAGGCGATCAATGAGCTCTAAGGTCTGAAATATCAGGGGGTGGGGCCTGTAGCCTTCTCCAATCAGCGGACACCGGCGTGGCAAACGCCCACTCAGTAAGCAGCCGGATTGGAGAAGCGGCATCCAGGATGTGTCTGGCCGACGTGGCAAACACCCAATCAGAAAGCAGCCGGAAGTGAGGGGGCGGCTTCTGGGGCTGTGTCCCACCGGCCCATGCTTCCTGCTCCTGCGCACAGAGCTCCGTCTCTCCCCGCTGCTGTGTCCTGTCCTCTGGGACCCTTTGCGTGTCGCGAGTCATCGCTCCGTCCTCCGTTGCCTTGTGACCTGCAGGCCCTGGGAGACCCATAGGGAGGTCGCCTCTACCCCCGGGAAACGGGAGATGGTGAGTACGGGGGCGGGTGCGAGATGGGAAGGAAGGATGGATCCGGATGACCCGGCGGAGGCGGGACCGGCCCGGTCCTCCTCCCCGCTTCTGTCTTTGGTTTTTTAATGAATGGTCCCCACGTGATCATTATTATTATGATTATTTTTGAGGTCGAGGGCTTGATAGGCTGCCCAGGCTACGCTCCCAGCCCCCGCCACCTCGACCCGTTGGGCTCCCGCGATCGTCCCGCTTCAGCCTCCCAAGGAGCTGGAACCACAGGCGCGCGCCACTACGCCCGGCTAATTTTTTTTTTTTTTAATTTATTGTAGAGATGGTGTCTTGCTGTGTTGGCCAGGCGATTCTAGACCCCTGGACTCAGGTCATCCTCCCGCCTCGGCCTCCCACAGTGCTGGTGTGAGCCAGAAGCCCGGCTTAAACTTGTCATTTTATAATTTTGGGGGAGGGGTTGGAGTCCCACTCTGTTGTTTCTTCGTTTATTATTTATTTCAAGTTGGGGTCTCACTGTGTGGGCCAGGCTGGAGGACAGGGGAGGAACTGGGGAAAAGGTCCATCCCACCCCAGCCCCAATTTTATTATTTTATATTTGGAGTTGGGGTCTTGCTGTGTGGGCCCGGCTGTAGGGCAGGCGCACAGTCCCGACTAACGCAGCCTTGACCCGCTGGGCTCCGGCAATCCTCCCGCCTGGTCCTCCCAAGGGTCCGGAACCGCAGGCGTGCACCACCACACACGGCTTGTTTCTTGATTTATTGCAGAGATGAGGTCTCGCCAAGTGGACCTGGGTGGGTCTTAAACCCCTGGACTCAGGCCATCCTCCCGCTTCAGCCTCCCAAAGTTCTGAGGTTCCAGGTAGGAGCCATGGCACATGGCTGATTCCTTTTATTTTTTTGTAGAGATGGGGTCTTGCTATGCTGTCCAGGCCGGCCCCGTTTTTTGATTGACTGTAGAGGCGAAGTCTCACCAAGTGGACCTGGCGGGTCTCGAACTCCCAGGCTCAGGCCATCCTCTTGCCATGGCCTCCCAAAGTGCTGGGACGACACCCCTCCAGTCCGCATTTTATTTTATTCTTTCATTTCTGAGTTGGGATCTCACTGTGTGGGCCCGGGCAGAGGGCAGGGGCATGCTCCCAGCCAACCCAGCCTCGAGCCTCTGGGCTCCGGTGATCCTCCCGCCTCAGCCTCTCAAGTAGCGAGAACCCCAGGTGCGGGCCACCACGCTCAGCTCATTTTTTGGTTGATTGCAGAGACGAAGTCTCACCAAGTGGTCTGGGCGGGTCTCAAACCCGCGGACTCAGGCCATCCTCTCTTCTGGGCCCGTCAACTCATTTCTGCCGCAAAACGGCCCATGTTTGCGGCAAGCACGGGCCCTTGAGGTCCGGAAGGAAGAAACTCATGCTTTTTCATCTCCTGCTAGGCGCTTTGGACCCAAATCTCTCCCACAAAAAAATGGAGAAAACTGAACTTTTTCTGCCCTTCAGGGCTGGACGGTCTGTGAGGAGCAAGTGAAGGATTGTTCAGGGCACACTGTGGACGCCGGTGTGGTGGCTCAAGCCTGTCGTCTCAGCACTTTGGGAGGCCGAGGTGAGAGGATGGCCTGAGTTCGGGGGTTCGAGACCCACCTAGACCCCTTGGTGAGACTTCGTCTCTACAGTAAATCAAAAAATGGGGCCGGCCTGGACAACATAGCAAGACACCCATCTCTACAAAAAATTAAAAAGAATCAGCCACGTGCCATGGCTCATACCTGGAACCTCAGCACTTTGGGAGGCCAAGGCGAGTGGACCGCCTGAGTTCGGGTGTTCGAGACCCACCCGGTCCACTTGGCAACACCTTGTCTATGCAATAAATCAAGAAACAAGGCCAGCCTGGGCCACATAGCATGACCCCCATCTCTACAAAAAATTAAAAACAATCAGCCATGTGCCATGGCTCATACCTGGAACCTAAGCGGTTTGGGAGACCGAGGCCAGAAGATGGCCTGAGCCCGGGGGTTTGATACCCGCCCGAGACAGTTAGTGAGACTTCGTCTCCCCAATAAATCAAAAAACAGGGCCAGCCTAGACAGCATAGCAAGACCCTGACTCTACAGAAAATAAAAAGAATCAGCCATGTGCAATGGCTTCTACCTGAATCTCAGCACTTTGTGAGGCCAAGAAGGGAGGATGGCCTGAGTTCAGGGGTTTGAGACTCGCCCAGGCCACTTGGCGACACCTCATCTCTGCAATAAATCAAAAAACAAGGCAGCCTGGACAAGATAGCAAGACCGAAACCGTGTCTCTGCTATAAACCAAAAAATTAGCCGGATGTGGAGGCGCACGCCTGTCATTCCGTCCACTTGGAAGGATCGCTGGAGACCAGCAGCTCATGCCATAATCCCTTCCCCAGTAGGGAAGCTGAGAGGAGAGTGTTGTCAAGCCCAGGGATTTGAGGCCAGCCCGGACAACATAGCGCATCCACATAGTTATAAAAGCTCAAAAAATGGAGCCAAGGGTGGTCGTACTTGCCTGTGGTTCTGGCAGCTTGGGACCCCGAGATGGGAGAATCGTTTGAGCCCAAGAGGTCAAAGTTGTGATAAGCTGTGATGGTGCCCCTTCATTCCTGTCTGGGCAACTAGAGTAACACTCAGACACAAAATAAATGCATTTAAGCTGGACTCAGTGGCTCAGCCTGTCATCCCATGCTTTGGGAGGCTGAGGTGAGTGGATTGCCTGAGCCTGCGGGTTCGAGACCCGCCTGGGCAACTTCAGAATATCTCTACAATAAATCAAAAATTAGCCAGGCGTGGTAGCGTGCACCTGTAATTCCAGCTACTTGGAAGGCTGAGGCAGAAGGATCACTGGAGCCCAGCAGGTCGATGCTGCGGTGGCTGGGAGCGACCACTGCACTCCAGTCTGGGTGACAGAGTGAGACTCCAACTCAAAAAAAAAAAATGTAAATATATATAATTGCATTTAATTTAACTTTCACAGAATAAAGCATACTTTCAATATCTAGGTGTGACTCGTCTGGAAAACCTCACCTGAAAGGAAATGCCAGAGAAAGAGGAGGAGGTAGCAGACATGGCTGGGTCTCAGGTAAATATGTACCAGGTCCAGGGCGGTATCTCGTTTCCTATGGTAATGTCATTATTTGGCTTTATTTTATTTAATTCATTCGTTCATTTTTTTGATTGGAGTCTCACGCTGCTGCCCAGGCTGGAGTGGCATGCTCGGGACCACCCTGTCATTGATCTGCTGGGCTCAGGCAATCCTTCGGCCACAGTCTTCCAGGTAGCCGGAACAACAGGTGCACGCTACCACACCTGGCTAATTTTTTTTTTTTTTTTGAGTTGGAGTCTCACTCTGTCACCCAGACTGGAGTGCAGTGGCCGCTCACAGCCACCACAGCCTTGACCTGCTGCACTTTGACGATCCTTCCGCCTCAACCTTCCGAGTAGCTGGAACTCCAGGCATGTGCTACAATGCCCAGCTAATTTTTTTGATTTATTGTAGAGATGAGCTCTCGCCAAGTTGCCCAGGCAGGTCTCGAACCTCGGGCTCAGGCAGTCCACTCACCTCAGCCTCCCAAAGTGTGGGATTACAGGCTGAGCCAACCGAGCCCAGCTTTTTTTTTTCTTTATTGTAGGACGCAGTCTTGCCAAGTTGCCCGGGCTAGTCTCGAACCTGGAATGTCATGATTCTAGAACTTGGAAAACTTTGCTGCTACTTGTGATGTTCCCTGCCTAATGAGTTTAACTAGTTTATATTTATGTAATATTGAAAGGCTCTGAACACGTCTTTTTCCCTACATGCCAGGGTCTTCTCTTTTTTTTCTTCTTTCAGTCTTCATCCTTGCCATGCACAGTTCTCACTGTGTATTTATGACCTGCGGTATTAAACATGTTCCCTTGTGGTTGTGGAACATGGAGAGGCACGGATACCCAGGTTTCCTATTGGACATAGGGTAGATCCTCAGATTCTAGTGAAAGACGGGAACATGTACTTTTTTTTTTTTTTGAGTTGGAGTCTCACTGTCACCCGCAGTGGCCACTCCCGGCCACCACAGCCTCAACCTGCTGGGCTCCGGCAATCTTTCCACCTCAGCCTTCCAAGTAGCCGGAATTACAGGCATGTGCCTCCACGCCCAGCTGATTTTTTTTGATTTATTGTAGAGACGAGGTCTCGCTGCCCAGGCAGGTCTCAAACACGTGGGCTCAGGCAATCCACTCATCTCAGCCTCCCAAAGGCATGGGACTACAGGCTGAGCCACCTAGCCCAGCCAATAAGACAATTTTTAACACAGGAATATTTTCTAATGCATAAATCTGAGTCATCTAAGAATGGAATAAGATCCACTCGCCAGTGTAGATACTTTACTTTTATGGGTAATACAGTACAAAATGTGGGTATCAACAGAGGCACTTACATTTTTGAGTGCTATACTTACGCCACACAGAATAATTATAATATTGGTCAGATGGAAAACTCACCGGGAGTTAGAAGATGCTCACCAACTTTAAATGTGTACAATAATTAATTGAACATCTTGTTAAAATGCAGCTTCTGGCCGGGCTCGGTGGCTCAGCCTGTAATCTTGTGCCTTTCAGAGGCTGAGGTGAGTGAATTGCCTGAGCCCGCGAGTTCAAGACTCGTCTGGGCAACTTGGCTAGACCTCATCTCTACAGTAAATCAAAAAATCAGCTGGACATGGAAGCTCATGCCTGTAATTCCAGCTACTTGGAAGGCTGAGGTGGAAAGATTGCCGGAGCCCAGCAGGTTGAGGCTGCGGTGGCCAGGAGCAGTCATTGCACTCCAGTCTGGGTGACAGAGTGAGACTGCAACTCAAAAAAAAAAAAATTGTCTTATTGGATAATTCCAGTTGTCATATCAACTAAAACCTGTTCTTTTCACTCTCTCATTTCACTCTCTTTTCTCATTTTCATGGCCACTTGAAAAATATGTGTTCTTTTCATTTTCAGGGGCTGTTGACATTCAAGGATGTGGCCATTGAATTCTCTCCAGAGGAGTGGGAATGCCTGGACCGGGCTCAGCAGATTTTGTACAGGGATACGATGTTAGAGAACCACAGAAACCTGGTTTTCCTGGGTGAGGACCATCTCAAAAAACAATTTATCTTCCATACTAAGAATTTCGTGTCCTTCTTTTGTAGAATGTTGTCTCTGAGTTTCTGCTTTGGGCAAATGAGTTTCCAATTCCTGCTTTCATTGAAAACTTTGGGATTCGTTGGCATACAAAAGAAAGAATTAAAGATGTTTCATTTTGATATGAATCTTTCCCTATTTTCAGCTGATCATGTCCTTCACACTATATTAGTGCTAAGTCCAGAAATTTTAGGGCATAAAATATTGTTGCCCACACTTTAAAATCTAATAGCTGCCACCTATTTTTGATACACTAGTACTGAGCTGGAAACCTACAAATTAAAAATTCATCTTTGCCAGGCTTGGTGGCTCAGCCTGTAATCCCACGCCTTTGGGAGGGAGGCTGAGGTGAGTGGATTGCCTGAGCCCACAGGTTCGAGACCTGCCTGGGCAGCAAGACCTCATCTCTACAATAAATCAAAAAATCAGCCAGGCATGGTAGCACATGCCTATAATTCCGGCTACTTGGAGGGCTGAGGCGGAAGGATTGCCGGAGCCCAGCAGGTCGAGGCTGTGGTGGCTGGGAGCGGCCACTGCACTCCAGTCTGGGTGACAGAGTGAGACTCCAACTAAAAAAAATCATAAAAATAAAAAATTATTCTTAAATGTTTAAAAGTTATGTTGGAAAACAGCATTTTGAGATTAAATTTCTAGAATCTTGTATGGTGTATTCTTTCCTGAGCACAGTACTAGGATTGTAGCAGGAGAATCCCAGCAAGAGTGATGTTACTTTTTTCTAATAAAACAGGCCTTGTTGTCTCGAAGCCAGACCTGATCACCTGTCTGGAGCAAAGGAAGGAACCCTGGAATGTGAAGAAACACAGCACATTAGCCAGACCCCCAGGTAGGTAGGAATGAAGGAAACAGATGACACAGGTCTAGGTTGAAGCAGAGCTTCAAATGAGGTTTGGGAAGAGGGTCTGTTCCTATGCCTGGGATTTTTTCTCTTGATCTCACAGTGGGACATCTATTCTATCTGCTGAAATTCTCCAGAAACTCTTGTTTTCCTTCGATGAACTTTTCTTCAAGGTTACAGTGAAAATCACAGTTCTCTTAATGATTCATAAGGGAATGCTTGATCAACTGCTCTTTTGCTGCTTTGGGGAACATGAAAATATCTATTTACAAACTCTCCATGTTAAACTTTTTTTTTTTGGAGTTGGAGTCTCACTCTGTCGTCCAGACTGCAGGGTAGTGACTGCTCCCGGCCACTGTAACCTCAACCTGCTGGACTCCAGCAATCCTTCCACCTCAGCCTTCCAAGTACCTGGAACGACAGGTGCGCACTACCACGCCCGGCTAATTTTTGATTTATTGTAGAGATGAGGTCTCACCAAGTTGCCCAGGTGGGTCTCGAACCTGTGGGCTCAGGCAATGCACTTGCCTCGCACTCCCAGAGTTCTGGGATTACAGGCTGAGCCACCAAGCCTGGCCCCAATTTTTCTAAGTATATCACTTAGAACACTGGTAAACATGTATTAAACTTCCACATGTTACCATGCTTCTTAATAACTTTAAAAATTATTTTGTTTAGTATGAAGCTTAGAACTGGGTTATATATACATGTATTTTTGTATGTTTAACTTCTGAGTTATTTTACAGAAATAAAAATTATCTAACTACATATTTATTGTGTAAGATGTAATGATTTGATATGTCTATTGTGAAATGATGACTGTAATCAAGATAATGAGCATATCACCTTAAGTTGCCTTTTTAATTTTTTTGTAATAATTTTTGTATTTATTTTATTTTGTCATTTATTGTAATAATAACATTTTTTGTAATTTAGCATTTTTTTGTAGTAATAACATAATTTCTATAATTTTAGCAAAATTTTTCAGCATATAAGTTATTATTAGCTATAGTCACTATGTTATACATTAGATCCCTAAAACTCCCTTATAACTGAAATTTTGTTACCTTTGCACATCTCCCAGTTCCCCCACCTGCAGATCCTGGTCCACCATTGTACTTTCTTCCTCTATGAGTGTAATCTTTTTTTTAATTTCACACATGAGTGAGATCATGCAGTATTTTTCTTTGTGTGCCTGGCTCATGTCACTTAGCACAATGTCTTACAGTTTCATCCATTAGGTTGAAATTGCAGGATTCTTTTTTTTTTATGGTTGAATATTGTGCTATAGTGTATATATACTGTATTTTCCTAATACAGATTGAATCCAGAAACATTCAGGTTGCTTTCATAGCTTGACCATTTTGACAAATGCTCTAATGCACACAGGGGTGTAGATACCTCTTTAAGATACTGATTTTATTTCCTTTGGTTATATACACAGAAAGCGGATTTTAGTGTGCTGTGGTAGTTTTTTTTTTAAGAATATTCATACATGATTTTCATCATAAATCTACCAATTTAAAACCCACCAACTGTGTACAGGATTTGTTTTTCTTTACATCCTTGTCAATACTTATCTCACTTCTGGTTGATATTAGCCAGCCTAACAGGTCTGAGATGATAACTCATTATTGGGCTGTTTTGTGAATTCTTCATGATTGGTGATGTTGACCACTGTTTCATATACTTGGCAATTTGTATGTTTTTACTGAAAAAATAGCTATTCTTGTGCTATTTTTTTAGTCAAGTGATTATCATTTTCTTGTTTTTGCCTTTGATTTATATAATTTCCTTGTATGTCTTGGATAGCAAACAAGTTAATCAGATATATAGTTTGCAAATGTTTTCACTTTTCCTGTAAGCCTTCTTCCTCTTTTATTTACTGTTAAAGATCATTTAATTGTATTCATTTAGTTTGATGCAGTCCAACTTGTTTATATTTGCTGCTGTTCCTGTATTCCTGTTGTCATATTTAAAAAGCTGATTACTTAGACCAATATCAATATATCAAGGAGGTTCTCCAAATCTTGGGATTGTTTTTTTGTTTTTTGGTTTGGAGTTGAAGTACCACTCTGTCACCCAGACTAGAGGGCAGTGGCACACTCGGGCTGCCGCAGCCTTGACCACTGGACTCCAGCAATCCTTCTACTTAGCCTTCCAAGTAGCTGGAACTACAGGCACGTGCAATCATGCCCCTGGCTAATGTTTTGATTTATTGTAGAGATGAGTTCTTGCCAAGTTGCCCAGGTGGGTCTCCAACCTGTTAGCTCAGGCAATCCACTCACTTCGGCCTCCAAAGCACTAGGATTACAGGCTGAGCCACAAAGCCCGACCCAAATCTTATTTTTAAGGTTTTTTCTTTTGGACTCATGGTCTCTTTCTGTCTCCCAGGCTGGAGTAAAAAGATGTATCCTTATCGTATCATGTGAGATTTGTTTTTTGTTTTTGTTGTTGCTGAATGGGAGTCTCACTCTTGTCACACAGCTTTGACCTGCTGGACTCAGTTGACCCTTCCGCTTCTTCCTTCCAAGTAGCTGGAACCACAGGCATGTACAGGCATGGGCCCATCTAATTTTTTTGATTTATTGTAGAGACTTGAACTCCCATGTTGCCCAGACTGGTTTCAGGCAATCTCTCACCAATGCCTCTCAAATTGCTGGGATTGCAGGCATAAGCCACCATGTCTGGCTAGATTTCTTCAAGAGTGCTACCTTTTCTCCATCCATTCATTCATTGAAAAACATTCAGGGCCGGGCTCGGTGGCCCAGCCTGTAAGCCTGTACTCCCAGCACTTTGGAAGGCTGAGGTGAGTGGATTGCCTGAGCCCATCACTGTCTGATTTAAAAACTTAAAATCAGGGGTTCGAGACTAGCCCAGGCAACTTGTTGAGACCTTGTCTCTATAATAAATAAAAAATGAGACTTTCGTGATGGTCCGTGCCCGTGGTTCTGGCTACTTGCAAGGTAGAGGTGGAAGAATCGCCAAAACCCAGCAGGTCAAAGCTGTGGTGGCCAGGAGCATGCCCCTGCACTCTAGTCGGGGCAATGGAGTGAGACTCCATCTCAAAAAAAAAAAAAAAGAAAAACATTCAGGTCCCTCCACCTTTTGATTTTTGTAAATAATGCTGCCATGAACAAGGTTATACAATTTTTTTTTTTTAACCTTCTGCTTTGCATGCTTTGGAAGGTACCCCAAAGTGGGATTGGTGGTCATAGGATAATTTGTTTTTCATCATTTATTTATTTATTATTTATTTAATTTTTTTGAGTTGGATTCTCTCTGTCACCCAGACTGGAGTGCAGTGGCACACTCATGGCCACCCCAACGTTGACCTGCTGGGCTCTGGTGATCCTTAAGTCTCAGCCTTCCAAGTAGCTGGACCTACAGGTGCGTGCTACCATGCCCAGCTAATTTTTTTAAATTTATTTTTAGAGACAAGGTCTGGCCAAGTTTTCCAGGCTGGTCTCGAACCTGCGGACTCAGGCAATTCACTCGTCTCTGCCTCCCAAAGTGCTAGGATTATAGGTTGAGCCATCGATCCTGGCCTAGATTTTTTTTTTTCCTACTTTGATGAGGTAATCTTATTGTACCTTGCTTTGTTACTTACAGACAAACCATAGCCATGGCCAGTGTCTTAATAGCCATCCTGTATTGGCTGTAATAAATTTATTGTCACAGTTTTTACAAGTTTTTAATCATTTTAGATAGATTTTGTTTTTGTTTTTTTGGGTTTGTTTGGTTTTTTTTTGAGTCCGAGTCTCACTCTGTCACCCAGAATGGAATACAGTGGCCACTCCAGGCCACCAAAGCCTCCACCTGCTGGGCTCCGGTGATCCTTCCGCCTCAGCCTTTCAAGTAGCTGGAACTACAGGTGCGCACTACCATGACTGACTAATTTTTTTTTTTTTATTGTAGAGATGAGGTCTTGCCAATTTGTGCAGGCGGGTCTTGAACCTGGGGGCTCAGGCAATCCACTCACCTCAGACTCCCAAAGTGTGAGATTGCAGACTGAGTGACCAAGCCCCTCTTAGATAGTTTTTGTATATGATGTAAGAGTTTATCTTTTTTTTCTTTTGTGGAAAGCCAGTTTTCCAATACCATTTGTTGAAGAAATTTTTTCTCCATTGTATGGTCCTTTAATTGTATGCATATGGATTTATTTTGGGATTTTCTGTTTTGTTCCATTATTTTGCTTCCTGTGTTCCAGTACCATATTGTTTGTATTTCTGTAAATTTCTTCTAAGTTTTAAAATCAGGCAGTGACACATCTCTACCTTATTCTTTTTTGCTAAGACTGTTTTAGATATTTATAGTCCCTTGAGAGGCTACGTAAATTTAAGATTAAATAATTTTTTTCAAAGAAAAATGTTGAAATTTTCATAGAAATTACATTGAATTTGTTTATTATTGTGGGTAGAGTTTATATCTTAATGATATCAAATCTTATGACTTCTTTTGTGTTGGGATATCACAGTGTCTTTGATTATGGAGTACAATGGAACAATCATGGCTCACCACAGCCTGCTGTAGCCAGGTTCCTCATGCTTTTCAGTCTCCTAAGTAGCTGAGATGACAAGCATGTGTGCCCTCACATCTGACTGACTTTTTATTTATTATTTTTTGTAACTATGAGGTCTTGCTATATTGCCTGGGCTGGTCTCAAACTCTTGGGCTCAAGTGATTCACCTACCTCCTAAGGTGCTGGGTTTATAGGCATGAGCCACCACACCCAGCCTAAATCTTGTGACTCTTGAACAAGAATGTAGGTGTGTGTTGCTCAAGTTGCATGTAATTTTTTATTTGACTGTTTTCCTTCTTTTAATTTTTGGTTTTCTTTCCTTGTGGTCAGAAATACATTGATTGTATAATTTCAGTCTTCAGCTTGTTTTGTGTCCCAATATGTTGTCTCTCTTGGAGGGTGCCATGTATAATTGAATACACAGTGTATGCTGGTGTCAGCTGGAGAGTTCTGAAAAGTCTTTCCAGTCTAAAT